TGCGTGGCGCAGCCAAGGCCCTGCTCCAAACACCAACAGGGGCGGCAGAGCCCGCGGCCGGAGCAGCGGCAGGACTGATGCTGCTGCCTGCCGCCGCCGCACCTGACGTGTCGTCCAGCCAGCCCTGGAGGGCGTCGCGCGCTGTGAAGCTGCGGCAGCAGGAGGGGCGCAGCGGCGCCGGCGTCAGCGCGAAGCCCAGCGGCACACCTGGGCGGCACAGCGTGCTGTCGCCCTGCCCCCGACTGGCGCGCTCCCCTGCCCGGCCTCACCTGATGGTTGTGCCGCTGGCCTCGTGCGTCAGGTGCAGGTAGTTGTCGCCGAAGAACTGCTCGGGGGCGGCCAGCGTGTGCAGCTCCCGCTTGATGCGCTCCAGCTCCACGTCGGCTGCACGGCGGAGGGGGGCATGTGTCGAGCACGGTGTGAAGCGATTTGCAGGGGCATCTGGGGAGCGAGGCAGACAAGACACCAAATTGAACAAGCACTGGAGGCTTCAAGCAGAGGGGCAGCCAGGCGAGCACGGCACCGCGAGCTTGGCGGCAGGCGGCGGCGGCGGCGCACGTGTGATGGGGCCCTTGTGGGTGGCGATCACCCAGCCCCCGACCCGCACGCCGTTGCCGCCCTCCAGCACCTGGCCTTTGGCCTGCTTGACGGCTGCAGAGAGGGAAGGAGAGGTCAAGGCGGCTGGCCTGCATACTGCCAGGAGCGGCTGCTGCCGAATCGATGGCAATAGAGCTCACCGTTGTCATCCACGGTGCCCTCTTTGTACAACATGGCTGGCAGTCCGCGATCGCCGACACACGGCAGAGGTACTCACGCTAGGCGCGCTGCCTGGGCACGGAAGAGCACGCTGGATCCTGTGGATGCCAGATGCAAGCAACAGTCATTGAGGAACAGAGAGTCTTTCACCTCTGCTCCCGCCGCCCGCCCGATCTGCAGGCGCTGCGTCCGCTGCGCTTGGCGACGCAGAGGCCATTGCCGAGGCACCCAAGTGCCGACCATCCACTGCTATGCATTGGCTGAACTGCGATCTCCGTCTCAGCTGCATTGTCTGCAATGGGAGCATGTGAATTCTCATGCAGATCGATGTTGCCGTCACATTTTTCTCCCGCTCCGAGCCAGCCGGCCGTCCACGCTCTGTGCATTTCACAACTTTTTCAACAACCCTGGAACAAAAGTAGGTGCGCAGCGCTGCAGGGCCTCCTGCCGATTGGTGGAGCTGTTGCCGTTGGCGGCAACGGCGCCGCTGGGCGTTGCGGGTCGAGGCCGCACTTCTGTCCGCTGCGCCAACGGCTGATGGTGCCTGCGTCTGTCTTTCTGCTCGCTGTTGGCACTACCGTCGGCGCTTAACACGGAACACAACGCCTCCCTTGCCCTTGCCTGCTGCAACGGAGAAGCAGCGGGCTGCACCGGGCAAGGGCGCTGTCTCGGCCGCCAATGCCAAGGCCAAGCGCTCTGCCAAGTGCAAGGCCGAGCGCGAGGCGGCGCAGCAGACCCTGGAGATGATGAAGATCATAGAGCGGGTGCGCCACTTCCCGGAGGCCCACCGGGAGCAGCAGCAGCAGCGGGAGGCGCGGCAGGCCGAGGCGGCGCTGGCGGCGGCGGCGGCAACGCAGTGCCGCGCCGAGGAGGCCTGTTTGCATTTCACAATGTCCATCATCCCCGCCCCACCCCCAATATAAAATGACAATGTTTTTTTTGCTATTTTCATTCAACCTCCCGATCATGCCCCCCCCAAAAAATAGCACCGACAGGACTCGAACCTGCGCACTCGTTAAGAGTAACGGTGGATTCCCGAAGAAGCGAGTCCTTAAAACCGTCGCCTTTCCAACTCGGCCACGGTGCCTAAACCAAACGACTTGTCATATTTTGTACAAATATGTTAAAGGGCCCGGTTCTCTGGTGTCCAGGCGCTGATGTTTTTGCGCTTGCCCCGTCCTCCCCTTGCCCGGTCTTCCCGCGTGCCGCCTTCACCTTTGCGGCCCCCGCCCGCCCGCCTGGCCGCTCTCCCAGCTACTGTGCCGGGGTGGGTGGGCCCGCTTTCTGGTGGTGGTGGTGTGCGGGTCCTCGACCTGCCCCTCCCCCCCACTGGTATGCTTGCCGCCCTTGGGCTGGCCATCAGGCGCCCCTCGCCTCCCTCCCCGCCCTTTGCGCCCGACCGCTCCCTGAGCCCGCCCTTTGCCGCCCGGGCGGTATTGCATGCTTTCATACAGTCCAGAGCTAGTGGGCACGGCTTGTGTGCCCCCAGCCCATTAATGGGCATTGCCTAACATCACAGATCACAGATCACAGATCTGATGTTGTGTCGTTGGCCGCGACGTTAAATAAGGAGCTGGATGAGTGCCGGTGGGTGATACCACAGGCACGAGTTCGAACCCCAGCCGGGACACTAGCTGGGACTTTGCCTCACGGCACCTTCGTGGCGGCATCTGGGCGGCGGACGGCTGCCCGGCAGACCGGCATGGCGCTTGCAAGACGGAGCCTCCCCGGGATGCCATCGGCGGCCAGATTTTCCTCGCTCTGGACAGCCGGCAGGGTTAGTGGGTTCGGCCCCAGCACATTAATGTGCCCAATCCCTGTAACACACACACACACACACTGATGTTGTTCATCGTTCCTTGCTCGAGTCCCCCGGCGCGGCCGGGCCCCGCGCCCCCCTCCCGCTCCTCTGGGGCCCTTCTTGAGCAACACCCTGCCTTGGGGACGCAGGACGAGGGCGACCGCAGCATCGCCGGCTCGCTTGGCCCGCCAGCCGCCCATTCTGCAGCTGCCCGCACTCGAGATGGCCTCCTGATGGTGCGTGGAGGGGTGCCCCGGGCCCTGCGGCGCCCGCGGCTCGGCTAGTCCGGCGAACACCCCCTCGGGCCGGTGCCGGCTCCCGGCCCGTTGTATGAGCCCCCGTGTGCCCCGTTGGTGCCCGGCCACCCCCTCTGCGACTTGTTCGCCCCCTACGACGCGTTTTGTGCGCGCCAGCCCCTCCCCCCAATTCCCGCTTCCGTGTGTCGCGGCCCCAAGCCCTGGTGCTTTCCCTTCAGCGAATTGAGACGTGGGGTGGCGTGGCTTGGCGGGGGAGCCTGTTGCCGCCGAGCGATTTGCGTTCGGGCAGGCCGCTGCTGCTGCTGCCGCCGCGTGCCGGGCGGCCCGCCGTCCCCCCCTCTTTTCG